TATTTCGAGAAAAACACTACTTGACATATATTTTAAAGTTTACAGTTTTACAAGAGATTTGCAACTGAAATATTTATTTATATATAAACTTTATTATCTAAATTATATTATGGATGGGAAAAAAAAGATCAATTTAAAAAAATAAGTATTTGTCTTGTACTTTTTGTCGGAAAAAACGTATGCATGCTTTTTTATAGATGAAAGCGGCATTCAAAACGCCTTATGAAACAATAACAAGTAAATTACTTCAATTTTTCCCAATGAATTTTTCCAAAAACTTGGTTACGTATCCAAACCGTAATAAATATACTTTTTTAAAAAATATATTGATGTATGTAAATTTTTTCTCTTTGAAAATCAATATTTTGACTTTTTTAAAAGACCACACAATATTTGAAGCAATTATAAAACTAGCTCCAGATGTTTTGCGATCTTTTTATAAACTTTTACACAAAAATCTTCTATTAAACCACACATCCAAATATAACAAAAAGACCGCACAATATTTTGTGCAATTATACAACTAGCTTCAAATGTTTTGCGGAATTTTTATCAAACAAAGAAAGAGTGCCTTCAGTTCTTTACACATTGTTGATAAAAAAATCATTCTAAATTAATTCGAGACTATTCAGATTGCATGACAAAAAATATTCCCATAAAAAGGGTCGGGCACAACAGAAACAAATATAGACTTGATGCTGATTGAACTGTTTGTGCACAAGAAATAATATTGGCAACAAACATGGAAAAAGTAATAATGCTACCAAGAATGGGAAATTTTTGAAAAGAAATGTTTTGTGAGCGGTTAACGACATACAATATAACATTTGTGCCTATTGGAAAAACAAAGGAATGTATAGTTTCATTTGTTTGGCATGAAAAAATTGCTGGGTGGTGCAAAGAAGAGTTAGTTCTACATATGATTTGTTTTTGCAAAAATATTGGGATAAATCTGAAATCTCCATTTTGGTGTGAAAATTAGAGTTTAGTGGTGTTTCTGATATATATGATTAATGGCAATGAAATCCAAACCAAAAAATCAAATTAAAATGATTGGAAAGTGGTCACACATTTATGAGTTGACTTATTTCATCATTTAATATAAAAGCAACTGAAAGTATGTCACATGTACTATTTCAATGGCTTTATTCAAAGAGTGAAAGCAGCAAAACGAAATACAAAAGTTAAAATTTTGCAGGTAAGTTTGATTTTAGTTTTATAAAATTTATAAGAATTGTAGCTGAAATTTAGTGAGCTTTTATTCTTGTAAGACCACAAACATTTTTGTGCTAAAGAAAAATATCACTCAATATATGTTGAATAAATTGTCTTCTTGTCCAAATATGGAAAACATCGGCAAATACGAGTTCAAACGTGATTCTTATGTTTTATCGTTGTGACTATGATTACCCCGTGATTGAAGCATTAGTTTCATCCAGAAAGCAGAAAGAAAAAATGTCAACTTTACCATATACTATAAGAAATTTAAAAGTCGGAATCAATTCAATTTAAAAATCGAAATTTGTTTCTACAATTTGTCCTTTAATACCCCCTAATAGAAGAGAGTTTTGGGAAAATTTGTTAAGAGTTTTTACGTTTAATTCTTCAATTTCAAAATTATATATTACAAACGTTTTGCGCGCATAGAAATTTTCTTGTTATATGTTTTTTCCTTTTTGTATTATTACTTATTTCATCTTCTATATATATTTTTTTTACATTGAAATTTTATAATTTTAAACAGATGCCACGGTCGTTCATACTTACTAAATAAGTGGAAAGTTATTATACGCAAGCGCAGTAAAGTTTGCCTATTTTAAGAGTTTTAAAAATGGCTTCGGATAACGAATATAAAAAAAAATCTCATTGACAACGAGCTACTTTTTCTAATTTTTAGCTATTAAGTATGCATTTAGCCGTTTATTAAAAGGAAATTATAATAAAAGTAACTTCTAGTACACGATAAAATGTTTCAAATTAAATATAAAACCTCTAAAAATGAATAAAATGTAATTACAGCAATAGCTACTTTAGTGTGTTAAGTTTATTGTTTTCAAATCGTTTTTTAAAAAATTTTGAGCGTAGAAATTTTTAAATTTTAATTTTTTCAGATAGATGAGCTGTTGATATTTCTTAGAATGTTTACTGATATTAGTATTCAATTTTTTTTCAAGATTAAAAGATATTTTTTTAACATTAACTTTTTATAAGCTGTTGCTAGGCTACTCTATAGTCACAATACATAATTACATTGATGTGAGTTATATATTATATATATATATATATATATATACATATATATATATATATATATATATATATATATATATATATATATATATATATATATATATATATATATATATATATATATATATATATATATATATATATGTATATATATATATATATATATATATATGTATATATATATATATATATATATATATATATATATATATATATATTTATATATATATATATATATATATATATATATATATATATATATATATATATATATATATATATGTATATATATATATATATATATATATATATATATATATATATATATATATATATATATATATATATATCGTATAATAAGAAATGACATATGCAAATAACATAAATCGTTTTGTATTATTAGTCTCTCGCGTAGGAAGGTCAAAAATGTTAGAGGGGGAGGGCGGAAACAGAAATTAAAGCGGGCTAGGGCAGCAAAAAATTTGAATGAAATTTTATGAAACTTGGGAGTGAAGTGGATATTGCCTTCTCCACCCCTCCCCCTCCTCCTGTTCTTAAGACAGTTTTGAATAATTTGATCTTAAGGCGTTTTGAAAAACGGCTGTAGCGGTAGCGAGTCATCTTTAAAAACGCACGCTTTAATTTTCTTTAAATATACACATTTTTCTAAAAAACTTCCAGAACTTTCTAGAAAGTTCTTGACTTGTCTAAAAGTACTTCACGCAAGTATAAAAGAACAGATGACTAAAAACCAATATTTCAGTTTGTGTTATTGGCGAGTAAAGGAGTTACAAATTATATTTGAAAACAACTATATAATTTGAATAGCATCAAGAAGTAATTTTCATTGATAGAAGAATTTCACTAAGTATTTAAAAAATTTATAAAGACAGGATCTAAAAAGTATTTCGTGAAAGCATGTCGTAAAATGTGAGGCCTACACGGGATACGTCGGCTTACCGCAAATAACTGGAGAAAAAAAAATGCTCTCTTGAAGCGAGGAAACTAAAAACGTATGCTCCACATTTTTATGTCATAATCAATATGTTCATGATGGAAATACAAACAGCTCAGGTGTGGAAAAAAATTTTTTTTTCCACACCTGAGCTGCACATGATGGGAGTGGATAAACTATTTGCTTTATGTGTTTGACCAGTTTTTCAAAATTGGTCGAAAAACATTACATATTAATGAGAGAGTACCATGGTGTTGGCCTAGATGAAAACTATGTTAAACTACACCCATGTTAGATGTTTCGGAGTGCGATTATACTTAACTATTTTATTTTGCCAATAGTTGATTATTTTCATAAGTTTTCATTGTTTTTGTGTTTCGTTTGTTTCATGTTTTCATAATTTTTCAGTCAGCAATTCAAAACTTTAAGTAAACAGGAGCGTTTGTTTTTTCTTCTGAGTGAATTTTACCAATGCGCTCTTACGCTTTATTCTTCCAATTTTTTAACTATTTAAATTTTAAGTTTTTTAGTTTATTTTATTAGTATATTTTATCATTATTATAACGCTGTCATTTTTTCAATGGGGCATTTGTTTCATCGGTAGTTGAATTATTTGGCATGACTCAGCAAAGCTGTTATTATTATATCGGAAATAATAGCTTTAGCGATATATTTCTCAAGCTAGACAAAAACCTTTTATGGTCAGTTACGTTGGTCCTATTCAGCTTTTTCTTTTTGCTAAAAACATTTTATTTTTGTCATTTATGTTTGGTCCACAGTATCCAATAGCATTAAAAACCTTATTATCTGAATAGACCTTTTTTCTATTACAGAAGCCTTTACTCTGTTTTAGTTCTTTATATTCATTGCTGTCGCGCTAATAACGGGTCTGAAAGATATGTGTTTCTAAATCTGTTTTATCAAAAATATTTAAAACTATTGATAGGTTACATAAAATTCGGTAGGTTCTTTAATTACTTTTTATTTTTTTGAGTGTATTTGTAATAAAAGTAATTAATTTATTAAAATAAAGTAATTACTTTTATTACAAATACACTCAAAATACTTCTAATATAATTAGTAAAACATTAAGATATATAAAGTAAATAGTATTACAATTTATATTTTAAGAAAACAAGATAATATAAAAAAAAAAAAAAAAAAAAAAAAAAAAAAAAACTTTTAGTTATGTAGCTAAAACATAACTAAAATAATGAACTCGCTAAAAGCTGTGTTAAGTCTTGTCCATCACGAACCCTTTTTTTTATTATTATTATTAATTTCATAACTATTCTATTTTTTGTTGCCTTACTTACATATAACAGTCAACAGAGGTGTGCCTAAATTAAGATAGTATAACTTTATTATACTATCTTAAGCACTTTTAAGTAAATATTAATTTGGCTTCCTTTTGCTAAACTGATTTCATTTTTAAATTTAATAGCTTTAATCAGAAATCCAGCACTTTAACCACTGCGATACAGGTGCTGTGCTGTTCTGCTAACTCAGTTTACTGTACTATGTTGCTAACGCTTTACGAATTATGTTTTTTGTTCATATTACTTACAATGTAAAAAATCTGTATTTATTTGAACATTGTGCCTGTTAATAAATGCGAACTAAAAAATAATAACGCGCTAATTACGCATTGCGCGCTAAGCAACGAAAGCAAACTTTAATAATTTACAAAGCTTTAGAACTCGTTGCTATAGTGAACTATTCATAGGTTACCGTCAACCGAGTAACAATGTTAAAACTAAATATTTTTTTTAGTTGTTTATTTATAATTTGTTCCATAACACGCGAATTACAAAAATATCTAAAACGAGACGATTATATCCTTTTACCAATAAAAAGTTGCATTTTACTTTTTTTTATCGTTTAAAAAGACTATTAAAAAATGAGAATTTAAACCAACCATTTATTTTTGCATTAATAATTAAATAATATCAATCCATTATGCATTAAATATGCCAATAGAAGGAAAAATGAAAAAACTCCAATAGTCTCCCTTCCTTTATAAAAAGAAAATTGATATTTCGAAAGTAGGTTTGTGAATTTTTTTTTTCAGTTTTTAAAGTTGTGTATTTTTCTTTTTTGTTGTGGTTTTATTTAGATTAAAAGGTTTGAAGAAACGCTTTTTTTTTTTTTTTTTGAAACTTTGTTATTTTAAGATATAGAACCCAATCAAAGTGACGCATTTAAAAAACATGCATTAACAAAAAAAAAATTTAGCAACCTAATATAAATTTACTGCAGTAATATTATGCTACTTACTCTATTATAGAGTTTATAGATTTGCATTAAATGTTGCTAATTAGATCATGCTAAAATAACTTGAAACATGGGCTTTAGTAAAAAGTTTTGGTAGACAGATTATTACAGTTTTATTTTCTACACGTTTATTACAACAAAAGAAAAAAAAAATCTTTTTTTTTTATATAAAGGTGAGCAAAATACATTAGTTTCATTCCAATTTTTGTACTCGCAAATATATATATATATATATATATATATATATATATATATATATATATATATATATATATATATATATATATATATATATAAATATATATATATATATATCCTTATAGTGTAGTTAAAAGAGACTTTTATGGAAAAAAAAGTCTCTTTCTAAAACAATTTTTTTACCTAGTCTCTTAAGCTGCATTTGATTGTCGTTGAAATGTCAAAACAATTAAGTTAATGCAGAAGTGTATTAAATTTTATTGTTTTTTAAAAAAACTGCAATAATAATGACTAGAATGTTTTTTTAATTTATGGTGTTTTTGTTGTTGTTTTATTAAAATATTTTTTAAAACATACACAGAGTGTTGCTACATTGACTATCTTATAGCCTGCTGCTACAAGGGAGTGTTGCTACATTGACTATCTTATAGCCTGACTCGCAACGGAGTGTTACTACATTGACTATCTTATAGCCTGACTCGCAACAGAGTGCTGCTACATCGACTGAGGGTTTAGTTTGTGCAGGCAATCTATCATTTAAGAAAAAAAAAATATTTAGGTTTTTAAACTTTTTCTGATCTGGTTTATTAACATTTTTAAAACTACAGTTTATGTGAAAACTTTCTGACTACCATATATATATATATATATATATATATATATATATATATATATATATATATATATATATATATATATATATATATATATATATATATATATGTATATGTATATATATATATATATATATATATATATATATATATATATATATAAATATATATATATATATATATATATATAAATATATATATATATATATATATATATATATATATATATATATATATATATATATATATATATATATATATATATATATACATATAAACATGAAGACCTCAGTGGAAAAACCGGCGTTGTCACATTTTAAAAGTTTTGAGAAAATTTTTATTGATCGTAAATAAAAGTCTTTATATAAAGCAACAAAAAAAAAGGAATTTCTAATAAAAATTATATAAATTTTTTTATAATTAAACTTTAAATAAATTAATAAAAATATTGATTTTTTTTTCTTTTCTTAAATTTTCTTTGCCTAATATAAAAACTTTTATTAATGATATAAGAAAAAAAGCTTCACAAAGTGCAAGTTAAAAGTAATGGAATAGTATGTTACTTTGATAATATATGACTTTATTTACTTATATAAGCATGTAATAAAATATTTTCTAATGTTCATAAGATTAATTTTTATAATTAAACTAACAATTTTTTAAAATATTTTAAAACTAAACATTTTATTTTTTGAAAAATGTATATATATTTTTTTTAATAATGAAAATTTAAAATCATTTATAATAATTTTTAAATTTGCTCATTAATAAAGTTGTAATCCTCAAATTAAAATTAAATCAAGTTGGCAGTTTGTTTTATTCAAATTGCAGGCGCATTTTATTTATTTTTTCCTATTTTTATGAATAAAAGAGTTGAAAACCTTTTTTTTTAAACTAGACTTACTAATTAGAGCAATAAGTTATTTTTTTAAACAAATTTTCTTTTGCAACTTTTTTGATAAAATAAATGTTTACAATTTAAAAATATTAAATACAATACTTTTTAATAAATTTGATAAAATTTATTCATCTATTAAACAATCATTAGTAGTAATTCGCCACTTAATTTAAAAGCGTTTTGGGTAGCTTTAATAAAACATTTAAAAAGATTTATTTCAAACGTAATTAAAAACTTAACAAAAAGTTTCGCTTTGAGTTTAAGTTTATATTTTTAATTTTCATTTTAGTGCTTATATAATTACTTTTTTTGTAAATAATTTTTTTTTTTCATTACTTTTTTCGTTATTTTTTTTTTAAACTTTTTTCCTAGTTTAAGTTTAACTTATCATTTCTACATTCAGCGCATTTTTGAAATTTTTAAATCATTAAAACATATAAGCAATCTTGATCAAGTTGTCAAGAAATAAAATAATTTGCGTGGTCAGCAATAGCGCTCAATCGCACGTCATTCCTGTTCAAGCCTATATATATATATATATATATATATATATATACATATATATATATATATATATTTATATATATATATATATATATATATATATATATATATATATATATATATATATATATATATATATATATATATATATATATATATATATATATATATATACATATACATACAGTATGGGACAAAAATAGTGAATTTTCTTTTGAGTTTTTTATAATAATAGTGCTTTTTATTTGATTAATGAATTCAAATCGATGATTTGGAATTAGTTAATAGTTAATTCAAATTCCTCTTGAAAAATGCTATAATTTATATATTTTGTACAAGTTATATATGTATTATATATGTACAAGTTATATATGTATTAATCATCAGTCTTTATAGGAATATTTCATATTTTAAATTTTCTGATGAATGGCTTCTTGCATGCAAAATATGACTTGAACTCTCCAAACTCATTAATACGCCGACGAACGGTTTTAATTGACGCAAGAGTAGTTAAATTTAATAATGCTCTGATTTCTGGTCCAGTTATAAACCAATTTTTTCGGACTTCATTGATAATACATCAATCGTCTCGTGCATCAGTCTTTTGCTTTCGAACAGAGCCTTTATTTCTTTCTGTACTATTAGTAGCTGCAAAATTTTTGACATTTTGGTTTTTTGTGCCTCTTTATGCCATTTGCCTCTTCTCTAAAATTGGTGCCATTTGCCTCTTCTCAAAGAGGCAAATGGCACCAGGCACCTCTATACTGGTAAATATTGGACACACAATGCGTCTATACTTATACTGTTAATGCATCGAATTGATTTTGAATGCATTGGTTGAAAAGGCGCTAACAACATTTGATGGTAAAGCATTTCATGCATTGACTACGCGGTTTGTGAAGAACTTTTCTCTTTTGACACAGTTCTTGACTATCGGCTTATTAAGTCTTAAGCAATTGCTACGAAGGTTATACTGGGAAAGCGTTTATGCGTAGACTTGAAGCACAACAAATTTGATTTTCTTAACATCATGCACAATCTTATATTGCTGAATTAAATCATTTCTAACTCATCTATCTTCTAGTTTGGTTAGTCCTAGAATTGTAAGTCTTTCTTCAAATGATTTATGTTTGATGTCTGTGATCAGCTTAAGCCAACCAAGTACCTAATTTGCTCTTGCAGCCACTGCTTCAACTTGATGTTTGACTTTAAAGTCTTCTGAAATAAGAACACCTAGATCTCGTTTGACTGAAGTTGTATCCAGTTCTTGTCTAGTTCCCATCTTTTTTTACAGGTGATGTGAGGTGTTTTCAACAATATCTGATATTAATGGTTTTCTTACAATTTTAATTGATTTATTCCTTGTAAGAAAAAGGTATTCGGTATTAACCATAGCATCAGTTAGTTATTTTACGTCATATCGAAGACTAGGTAACCTCTTGAAGCAAAGCCCTGATTTCAATGTGCTCTATACTAAATGGAAGAAGGCAAAATGAGTTAATAGCATAAAAATTGACGTATTATTAAAAAAACTGTTTTTTTTTTAAATATTGTTTTGAATCTCAAATAAAGTGAAATTGTATATAAATTTCAAGTATAATAATTGTTTGGGGTCTTTTATATAGTAAATATAGGTGTGAGGAAGCAGTTACCCAAATGCATACAAGGGAGGGTTATAGACAGTGATACGTATGCAGTTTGACTATCTCTTGTTCTCTATCTCAGTACATGTGCAGTATGACTATCTCTTGTTCTCTATCTCTCTTAAAGCTTGATTTTTTCAACAAAAACATTGAATTTAATTATTTTAAAAAATCAATTATATGTTATGTAACAGAGATATGTCAAATTATTTAAAAGTTTATTTACTTTTAATGTTTTGAAAAATTTATGTGTTGATTTTGTAATAATTCATACATATGCAGAGGGGGTATAGTTATTGAAAGCATACAGAGATAATAGTTGTAGAGAGACCAAACCATTATCAGAAGCACCTAAGGGTGAGTGTGGAGACACTGAGCACTGACTAGGATTAGAAACAAGACATAAGTAGAGTAGAGAAGGTAAATGATTCGGGTTATCTGGATAGCGAGTTGGAAAGTTGACTAGTTGAGTTAGGCATTGAGAAAGGCAAAAGTTGTGGGCCCTAATGCCTGCTGAGTCACTGACACAAGAGCCAGTCCATTCAGTGTGATGAACATTAAAGTCACCAACAACAACAATATTGGCTGATGGATAAAGAATGAGGGCTTGGTCAATATAATCAGAAATAACATCAAGAAGAGTGCAGTCTTGAGATAAAGTAGAGCGATATAGAACAAAGAGAAAGGTGATAGAGTGAAGTGGTGCTAAACGAAAGCACATAAAAGAGTAGTCTGTGAATTCAAACCTAGTTTCCCGACAAATGGGTGAATTCTTACGAATGTAAATGCCCAGGCCAAGCATGTGACTGTTGGAGTCTTTACGAATTAAAGGAAGATAGCCATCAACACTAAGATCACAAGATGAGACAGCTGAACTCAAATTAGTCTCACAAAGAGCAAGTAGGTCTGGTGAA